TTATAAAAATAAATAAGTAATAAAATAGTAGATGGACATAGAAATAAGAGAGTCTCAAGGTACACCCAAGAATTGTTGTTGGTTTCCACCTCCGACGAAGATGAGTCATTCACAACCCTAATTTTGATTAAAACACAAAAGAAAATTCAAATATGAACGATTTTCTTGGAACATATATGAATTTATTATATAGTGGATGTGGGAAATTATTAATTAACGGAGAGTTACTGCAAGTGGGGAGTTGTTGTAAATGTGTGTTATTAGGAAAATTATAGATAATAAATATTACTGAAATAGGTAGTGACGATAATAATTGTAATAAAAATAAATAAATTTAAATTTCAGTAATAGCATTAACATTTATACAAATTTGATAATGCAACATGATAACTACGCAAAATACTTAATAAAAATTCTTCTATCTCGATTAAGTAGTTAGATCTTGTTGCGGGTCACATTTTATTGTGCAATTCTTTTCTCGGATGCAGGAAAATCAGTTTCGCGATCACTATACTCTACAACTGAAATAGACGACTGTGCAACAAAACTTTGCCACATGAAAGGAAGCGTCGGTGAGACATGGAAAAAAAAAAAAAGAGCAAAATGTTAGTTAAAGTTTTACGAAAATCATATGAAAAAGGTAGCTAGGTTTTGGGAAAAACTTGCATACACGATTCACATTTAATAGAAGAGTAATTGTTTAATCAACCACAAAATGTATCTACTACTCTTAATACATGGTTATATGATAGTTGGTTTTTTTTTTTCTTTTATGGGAGGCAAATAATTTTTGTCATGATATGCACGAATCTTTCATGATTATTTATCAAATAAACCCATTGGATAGTTTTCCAATATTTACTCTTGCGTTTTAAGTTTTTTTCCCTTATGCATTTTTTTTCCTCTAAAGTTTTTGATTGAATTTACAACGATGACAATTCAAATTTATATACAAACCTATCAATATACTCACAAACTTAAAACCTAATAATATAAATAATAGTTCGCATAATTACATGAGCCTAGCATGAATGTTTGTAGATGTACAACATGTTGCCAAGTATTTGGTGTATGATGTGAGATGATGATTGTTTCTTCTCTTCTTTACTATTTTTTTCACGTTTAATGTCTTAGAATTGCTGAGTAGCTTCAAATACAAATACAACAACAAAGTCTTGTAAGTTATAAAACTTAAATATTATAAATAAATTATAGCAAAAAAAGCTTTCAACTAACAGAAGCACATAATAAATGTCTGACATAATTTTTTTTCCTTCTACCGAATTGCGTGAGTAGCTCGCTCCAATCACGAATTGTTGTTGATAGGAACATGCTTGCTGCAAAAGAAATTTACAATATGTCAAACACAAATGCAAAAATAAATAAATAAACGGCATAACACAGTTGTTAAATAAACGAAGAAGAAGACGAACAAAATTTTAAATGAGAAAGAAGAAGAAACTTGGCAAAAAAATGTGATTTTTGGTGGAGTTCTCATGAGTTTAAATAGAAGAAAGAAGTTGGTAGGGGTTGAGATCATGGTGTGATAACTTCTACCATGATAAATTAGTGGGGGGTTTAGTGGGTGGTTAGAGTGGAGAAGAAAAATAAAAAAATATATATATAAATAATTAGAAACATACGGTATATTTAAATATAGGAGTTAGTGTTTAAATTATAAATTTATTAATTAATGGTTAAATTAAATATTTATTAATTTACAAAATTAACCCTAGGTTTAGGTTTAAGTTTTAGTTCAAAATATCTTCGTTTTATATATAAGATCTTGATTGGCTGATTATCATTAGTAGTGGAATGCATGTGTTTGCTCATTTGTTATCTTAATGGATAAGCTAACTCATCCAATTTCATAAACATTATTTGAATATATAAACCAAAAAGAATTTATATAGCTTGTTAAAATAACAGCATCCCTATTTTGTTTTAGTGTGAAGATTCATATACATATTATATAGGGTACAAAGTTATATATAAGGCTGATGAAACTTAGGCCACCTTGTTGATTTTTGTACATAATAACCGAAACTGAAATATTAAACGTCGTTTGAATTTTATTAATATCGTTATGACTACGAACATGATTTTGACCAATTTCTAATCTTATTTTGGCATAAGTGAAAACACGAAAAGTATTGTCCTTTCAGTTAGTTTTTCCTATACAGCTTGAATCAGCTAGTTTGGATGCCACATGACAAAGTTTTAATTTGCATAAATAAATTAGGTTTCGAATTTTAGATAGTTCAAATCATAAAAGTTGCGAGCTGAGCACTGGTAATTTGATTCATCGGTACCTTTCTATGCAATATATGGATTTGTTCATCCAGGTTTGGTTTAAAAAGCTAAATTGAACCAAAGAACTAAAAGTTCAATTCCGTACTGTTTTGAATTTTTCCAAATTTAGCGTAAAAATGGTCAAACACTTGTTTAAAATCGAAATGGTATTATTAAAACTGAAACGACATTTATCACCACATCCCCTATCCACAATCAAGGTTGTTTTAATTAAACACATGTTTTAATCATATAAAAACTAAATTTATATATAGCTAGGTCACCCATTGGATCCCCTTGTAAAATCTATAGGTCTAGAAAAGCAATTTTTAATTTTCTTGCCACAAAATAATATTAATTATTTTCCTCCATCCATTCTCAATTATCTCTCTAATTATTTTATCCATCATTTTAGTTTCTCTCTCTTTATTAGATATATAATTTTAATTAAGTTTAACCTTTAAAAAAAACAATAATTAAGTACAACCTTATTGTACGTACGTGTATTTGGTTATTTGGCAAATTAAATGATTTGAAAGCAGAGGCGCGTTTGCAAAGTATTCCCAGGTGGACCCCACTAATCAGGGGCGTTGGAATAGTGGGCCCCACCAGAGGTATATATTACCAGTCTTGCCTTCCCACGCCGCCGGGACCCACTGACAGAACTCGCTGAAATCATCTGATACGTAAAATCCCGTTGTCTGCTTTCCTTTTCTCTCTCTAGAATATAATCTACCCTTCCTTTTTTTTCTCTCTCTACACTCTAACTAATATTGTATGTATCTATGTATGTATGTATATACGTATCTAACAACTGAAAATGAATGACTGCTTTATTTGTTTTCTTCTCTCTTGCGTGACAATATAATACTTAACAAAACACACATCCCCAGTACAATCTTGTAATCATTACTCTCACTAGCTATATTTTCTCTCTCTAGCTAGCTAGCTATGTTTCTCTCTCCTCAATATATATTGTCTATATATATTCATACCCTTGTGGTATATTTACACTATTTTCTCTCTTTGCATGTTTAATCAATATCTATATATATACATAAATATATATACATACAGTTCTTAATTAGAAGAACTTAGTGTGTTGCATGGGGATGGATTCTTCAATTGCACAGCATCACCACCAGGTGTGTGTTTTTTTCATGTGTTTGTGTGTGTGTTTATATGTATATATGTATGTATGTATAATTTTTTTTAAAATTTATTTAATTTGCAGGAAATGAATTGTTCTTCATCATCACAAACACTAGAGAGCATGCTGGCCGGCGGCACAAAATCGGCGGCGCAGCAGCAAGAAAACAAGAAACCGAGGCCGGCGGACATGGATTCCCTAAAATGCCCTCGGTGCGACTCCACCAACACAAAGTTCTGCTACTACAACAACTACAGCCTCTCCCAGCCGAGGTATTTCTGTAAATCGTGCCGGCGTTACTGGACGAAAGGGGGTACCCTCCGAAACGTTCCGGTCGGCGGAGGCTGCAGGAAGAACAAACGGCCCTCGTCCGCTTCATCTTCCTGCTCCTCCGCCTCCTCCAGGCAGCGGAGCCAGGACAACAACCACCACCACAACCCGATTGTGGTGGGGCCCGCTGCGAATATTCCGTCGTCCAACGACGATCTCAACCTTGCGATTGCTCGGCTTCAAAGGCAAGATAATACTAATCATGATTTTTCGATTTGGGGGAATCCAAACATGCCCTATCATCATATGCATGATCATTCCCTTATTAGGAGTGAGTTTCTTGAAACCCCTCTTAATGGGATTCCGAGTTTTCAGTATGAAAACATCGGAATCGGAATGGGAATTGGAATGGGAATCGGAATGGGAAACCCGTATGAGGAATTCAACACCACCACTTCCATGGCGGTGAAAGACGAAGATGAAAATAGTAAAGTGTTGTTTGGATTCCCGTGGCAGAACGGCGGTGGGAATAGCAATACCGGGGAATTCGATTCCGGCGCCAGACTAAGCTGGAATGGAATCAATAATGGTTCATCTTATAACAATTGGCATGGGCTTCTCAATAGCCCTCTCATGTAATAAAAAAAAACAAACATCGAGTCTTAATTATTCTTGGAATAATTAAACAAATATTTAATTTCAAGAACCAGGGTTTGGTGATAGATTAATTTTATTTTAATTTTTAATTTAATTATTTGAAGTGTTTAACTTAATTTTAATGATGTGGGTTTTGTCTGTAGTAAGAAGGAATGTTGTCAGTTGATTTTATTTTGTATGATGACAAACTAATGGAATTTCTATTATTACCAAATCATGGTTTTATTTATTTATTTATTTGTTTGTTTATCAGAGAATTGTTTTTTTTTTTGCAGACTGTCTGAACAACAGACTGAACAAAGATGCTGAATTTGGCAGTGTTTGGTTGATAGGAATATGATAAACAATTCAAGAGTAGGATTGATTAATTAATTAATTAAAAAAGAAAACAAAAGGTATATATAATTTTCAAGATATTCTGTGATGATTGTATAGTTATTATTATTTATTATTAAATGTCAGGGAATAATGTTTTTCTGTGAGAATGCGACCGCAGCAATTAGAGGATAGATTTTCTTCCGCGGTTTTCGCCACACAAAATCCAACAATTAGATTTAGGCGTGAAGTGGGGATTCATATATTGTCTATTATTATATTATATTAATGTTGTCACTTAGGACTTTGAACAACACATCTGAATGTTTTTTCAAACAATTTGGCCCTTCTGTCACACTTGTCAAGAAAAAAAATAAAAATAATACATATATATTGCTGAATGTTGTATGATCTAATAATACTCAAGAAATTTGTTAGAATGTGACTTTCACAATTAGTAATGGTTGAATCTTAATTAGTGTATATTTCTATATTAGACTTGGGTGGTGTTTGCAAAAGTTTTTTGAAAGTGATTATGAATTGTTTTTGTTTATAATCTGTTTGCAGGTGTTTGCAAAATCTGTTGGAATTTTTCATGATTTCCAATAATTGATATTGAGTAATATTAATTAAATTATGAAAAGAATAATTTCATTTATTTACTTGATCATAATCATGAAGTAAAGTTAATGAAAATTGTCTCGAATAATGGTTAAAGTTCAAAAGATGTGTCTCGATGTGATCGAATGATTGGATTAATTTGAATTTAGGTGTCCACAAATATTACTTTTTGGGACATTTAGTAATTAGTCAAACTAGTTGACCCATAATCTAAATAATAAAATATTGGCCCAAACCAAATATTTAATTAATTAGCCCTGCTTCTTCCTCCAACCATTGCAACTCTTTATGAATGTATCTCTACCACCTATAAAAAAAAGCAAAATCTTGCCAATTTTGTACTGAATTTAATTGCCAATTAAGAGATAGTTCTTCATATTCTTCTTTTTCTTTGTCAAAATTTCGTTCTTGTTCAAGTTCGCCGTGGATCGGATATTCGTGCAAATATTTGACAACCGATCGTTGTACCTTGGGAGACTACCGAGAAGAGACTGTGCACCGTTGACAGCCCGGAAATATTGTCTCACGAGAATTGCTTTGGCAAGCCTCGACCGTTCTTTGTGTGTTTTCACAATTCCTCTTTTCGACAAACAAATAAGTTTTTTTCATTTACGCAAACTGATATATTAATTACACCAACAAAATCAACTTTTACTTTTACTTCTCTTAAAATAATCTGCTTCAAGCTATTTTTCTAAAAGCACCCCTGGCCCTATTTTTTCTATTTAAGTTCAATTCACGGAATAACTGCAAACACCACCAACTTTTAAAAATAAACAACTCAAACAAATTTAACTCACAATCATTAACTTCTGATTTTAAAAATTCATTTGCAAACACCACCTTAGAATAATTGACCAAAATCCTTAATTACAATGAGCCCGGGTCTTAACAATAATTCCTTCAAGTCTTGGGCCATTAGCCACCGGCCCAATACAAATAATTATTTAACGGGCCCATGAAGGAACTAGGCTTAATTAGGCGTATCAATATACAAATTTATATATTTATTTTTAGTTTTTAATGAGAGTAATTAGCAGAATAAATTGTTTTGATTTGATACGTCATACTTACGCATACGATGCAAAAATTTGTGTGCATGAAATTAGCATGAAATATCCTTACACTAATTAGAAAATTTTGAGTTATATAGCCGTTGATGTTATTTTTTTTTTCCAGATTATAATTTATAAAATATTCTGAAATTTTCAAACTTATTCAGAACTATATATTTAAAAGATTATTATAAAATATTTTGATAATATTATAGTATGGTCTTAAATGTTTGCATATAATTGCCATTCCATTTAATTAATTGGGTCGACCAATCACTTTAAACAAACAAAAGCCGGTGATATGAATTAAATTATAAATAGATGTTTATTTTTACAAGACAAATTGTTTGCACAAACATCATGAATAATCAACTTATTTTAAGAGAATTTGGTCATGGGGGCTTTATATAGTTTAGCAGCTTATTTTTAGAGATCTAGAAGCAAAAGCTAGTATTGCAAACACTTCAAAAGTGCTTTTAAACCCAAAAAAACTCAAAAATCACATTTTCAAAGCTTGAGCAAACAACACCATGAATTAAGAATTATATTCAATTTAAAAAAAGGAAACGTAAAAATAAACTGTAAAATTAAAAATCAAGATTATAGGCTCCAAAGTAAAACACCTTTTGGAAAAATATCATCAATCTACTACCAAACTGTTTAGTAGCAGCCGTAAGTCCGGCCTTTTTTTCATCATCGCCAATACGCAAATACCAAAAATTCAAAACTCAAACTAAGACCTGTACAAAATATAAAATCAGCAGACATAATATCCGTATGTCAAGAAAAGACTCGTAAATCGCCCACGAGTTCATAGAACACCATTAAATTCTTCTGCAAATATATAATCAAAACTTAAATCACCAAATAAAAAGGGGAAGAAAAAATAATTCAGTCTATTTAAATTTTCATCTCCACTAATTAGCTACCCGAATAAACTTCGAGTAACCTTGAATAAAAACAGGAGAGGCATTTAGCTGTAAGTCCATTAGCATTCAAAGCAGCTCATTTGCCCAAAAGAGGGCTCAACTGATTTGCCAAGATGGACTAGAAAAGATAAAATAACACCACAAAACATTTCATCAAACACCTAAAAGACACAAGATTTGGAATTGCTATAAACAGCTAGTTATGTTTCACCGCAACTGACCTGCAAACGTCACTGATTGAGTTTCGAGTAACATTGAACAAAAATGGAAGAGATGATTTGGATGTAAGTCCATTAGCATTCAAAAGCAGCCCATTTGCCCTTAAAAGGGCTCAGCTGATTCGCCAAGATGGACTGGAATTAAAAAGCATATGATAACACCACAAAGCATTTGATCAAACTCCTAATACACATAATATTCACAATATCCACAGATAATTTGACAATAATTTTGTTCTTTTTAGATATGTTTCATCTCAACTGATCTGCAAACATAACCGATTGTGTTTCGAGTAACATTGAACAAAAATAAAGAGATGATTTGACTGTATGTCCATTAGCATTCAAAAGCAACTCATTTGCCCTTAAAAGGGCTCAGCTGATTCGCCAAGATGGACTAGAATTACAAAAGATACGATAACACCACAAAGCATTTCATCAAACACCTAACAAGCACAAGATTCAGAATTTCTATAAACAACTTGTCAATATCTTATTAGTTATTAGATATGATCATCTCAACTGGTTAGCGAACATCACGATTGAGACATTGAACATAAAATGAAGAGATGATTTATCTGTAAGTCCATTAGCATTCAAAAGCAGCTCATTTGCCCTTAAAAGGGCTCAACTGACTTGCCAAGATGGACTAGAAAAAAATAAATTAACACAAACAATCAATTCATCAAACACCTTGCATACAAAAGATTCACAATTTCAACAAATAACTATTCAATATTTATTTTTTTAATATGTTTCATCTCCACTGATCTGCAAACTTAACAGATTTAAAGAAGCAGAAAATAGTTAAGAGAAAGAGAGATTTAATATTAGTCCATTAGCATTCAAAGCAGCTCATTTGCTCTTAAAAGGGCTCAACTGATTTGCCAAGATGGACTTTTTACAATAATAATAATACCACAAATCAATTCATCAAACACCTAGCATGCACGATAAACAATTTCTCCAAATAATTCATCAAGAGCTTTTTCCAATATAAATAAATCCAAAAGGGGCAAAATCACAAACACCATATCAACAAATTTATTCACAGAGCTTCAGAAAGTGAGAAGAAAAAAAAAACAGATTTAGAAAACCTTTAAACTTCAATTAATACAACAACTTACGTATGAAGATCGAAAACTGCTCGAGTTTTCAACGATAAAACAAGTAACCGACGAGACACGCAGATAGCTCCAAAGCTCGCCGCTTTGTGTGTCTCTCAGTTTCTTGTTCTACCGTGAATCTCAGATTAGGGTTTGTACGCCTGAATTGTGGATTTTAAAGCCCTAATTTATAGAAAGATTTGGGCCAGAAAAATATATATTTTCTCAATTTGGGCTTTATAACAATTATTAGAGCCCTACATTGGTTTTATTTTATTTTTTGAGTCCAATCTGATAATTCAATTCAAATTCCAATGGGATTGGGCTTATAAATACACCGTTATGTATATATATTGAATGGGGCTTGCTATTATCAGTGCGGTTTTTACCACTCGCAGTGCAAAATAATTCATTTTTTTTTTCTTTTCCAAATCTTATCCAAATACCCTCTCAAACACTCTCAACCTTTTATTCTTAATATTAATCAATTTTAGTAATTTTTCGACCAATATCAGTTAGAGCACAAGTATTATCGACATGGATGACAACGGCTTCGATTTTGAGGTGAAAATACACGTTTTTTGTTCGTTTCCAACGTTTTTACACATTTCGTGTTATACCACACGAAATATATGCTTTCATTTCGTGTAACACTATACGAAATATGTATTAAAATCGTTTGTTGTTTGTTATTTGTTTCGTATACAATCATACGAAATTCAAGCTTCCATTTCGTGGTAAAAACTACGAAATGCAAGTTCTTATTTCGTGTGTGTTTACACGAAATGTAGCTTACATTTCGTATGTTTTTCTACGAAATTCCTTAAATATTGTCTTTTAATTTTAAATATTTATGCAGGAACTAAGAGAACAATCTCACGATCATAGTCACTTCTTTGAACGTGGTATTGTGTGTGATAGTAGAGAAGCGTTAATTATGTGGGCAAAAGACACAACAATTAGTCATAATCATCGACTGATTAATCATTGTAAATCAGAAAAATATCATGTTTTAACGTGTGCAAGATATCAATCAGGACGACACGTACTATTAAAGAAACGTTCTTGTCCGTTCAGGTTAATTGGCAAAAAATCAACGGAGGATGGATTATGGCGATTGAGTGTGAGTAATGGTAATCATAACCATCTGCCGGGTATTTGAAAGTTTAACTTATGTTTAAATTTGTATTTGTTTTAATTTTGGAATATTTAAATTTGTAGCGTTGTGTTTTGCATTTTATATGTTTAACCTATGTTTTTGGAATGATTAAATTTGTAAGGTTATTTGTAAGGTTGTTTAAATATGTACTTTAATTGCTTCAGTTGTACGTAGTTTCTAAATTCAAATCATAAAACTAGTGAATTAAAATACAAAACAACAAACTAGTAAATTAAATAGTTCGTAATAATAATAAACAAAATTAGTAAAATAATTAGTTCATAATAAAAATAAAAATAAATTATTAAATTAAATAGTTCCTAACAATAATAAAAATGCATAGTCCTAATAATAATAAAATAAACTTTAAAATTAAATAGTTCATAAAAATACATAACTGGCAAAAAAGACCGATAAACTACCGCATCGCTCTCCTCGGCGGCTGCACCTCATGATCGTCGTCGTCATCGTCGTCGTCGTTGTCGTTGTCATGGTCGATGCCAATATATCGGGCGGCGGGCTGCATAATATCTCCAAGATCGGCACGTAGATCGGCAAACTGCTGCATCCAGTCTTGTCCAGTGCTCCTGGTGATCGGGTACAGTGCACGTACTATCTGGTAATAAGCCGGCTGATCTGGTGGCCTCACATTCTCTCGATGCACTGGAGCCGGGCCTACGTCGGGGTTGTTGATCTTCGGATGGGTCCGATCGGTGTACCATTCCATGTAGTGCTCGTCGACTTCCCACCCGTTGCCGTGCCGTCCTGTATGCGTTGGCACGAATGGAATGAGCTTGGACCATGTCCCACATCCCACCCGGAAATGGGTAGTTGACTTTGTACAATGTACCTCCTTTGGGACCGCGTGAACATGGCTTCATCGATGGAATCAAACTGCGCGGTATATCCTGAACCCACCCGAACTGTCGGACGCAACGATCAGGCATATACGGCTCTACGACCCACATGTACTGGATCGTGCCATGATACAACGTACGAGGGATACTCTCGTGTATATCCCGACCATACGGTAGCCACTCGACCTAAAGAAAACAATATAAATACATAAATCAAAAAATTCTTATTTAAACAAACTACAAATATAAATACATAAATATAAAAGACTTACATCATCCGCTGTCATATTGTCGAGTAAACCTCGAATATGCTCGAGCGTGCCCGCTTTTGGCGGCGCGTTCCACCTCTTGCATCGAGGCTGAAACTCGAGGTAACGCTCGCTCTCCTCCGGCGGCTGGAATCTCGGGAAATACTCGTATATCCAGCACTGCAATATTTTATTTAAAGATATTAAAATTTATTAAAATATATAAAATTTACAAAATATATTACAATTTATTAAAATATATTAAAATGAACAAAAAAAGTTCAAAATATATTAAAATTTACCTGAAGAAGGGTGGTGCAACCCGTCAAGCCCCTCGACTGTGCTCGGCTGCATATACCCAACTCTCTGTATAGATTGGCCAAACAGGCCGAACCCCACGAATACGTGCCGACCTGATCAAGCACTGAATCCTCGAGCACGTGCATATACCACGGTTTCACCCGATCACATGTCTTGTCGGGGAATAAAATAGATCCGAGGAGAAACACCAGGTATATCTGAACTCGGCGTCTCATGGGCGTGTCGGGCATCAACAACTGTCCATGTATCATCCTCCATGTGGGGCCCCCACGCTTCCATGACTCGTAAATACACGCAATTTGTCCGCTCGATGGCCTCGTCGTACCTAGGCGCGACCACCCGTCCCTCCACATTGGCACCTAGAATCATTTGGACATCGTGGAGAGTGATAGTCATCTCTCCCCACGGCATATGGAAGCTGTTCGTCTCCGGCAGCCACCGCTCCACGAATGCAAACAATAATGGAGTATCTAGGCCCGGTAAATAACATCGGGCTAGGGGATACAAACCGGTCATCCGCAGAAAATGCTTGTCTACGGATACATCTACGTCTTCTAGGGCAGCTGCTATCTTCTCGTAGTTGAATTGGTTCAGGGAGTTGATACGGGACTCCACTCGTCCAACCGGACGTTCCTGCAATCATTTATTTAGAAAACATATTAATTAATCAACTATATAAGTATTTTAATAGAAGATACAAAAATTATAATATTAAAATTAAAACAAGTAATTAACTTACTTCTCCCCTCCAAATATATGCCGCTACGTGCGACTTGAAACTCGGTATCAAAGACGGATCCCGCGGGCCACCGGGAAACGGACCATCTAGCACATCCGGATTGACTCGAGTATGAGGTCGACCACCACGGCCCCGTCCTCGGCCTCCACGACCTCCACGAGCTACAACCTCAGTCTCGTGAACGGGGTCCACAACATCCTCCTCTTCTTCCTCCTCCTCCGTAGCACGAGAAGATCCAACATCGGGATGTGGAACTGATGATCTGGCTTCACCAGCTCTCTCAGCCTCTCGCCTACGTCGTGTAGACATAGTCATGCGCTCGCGCTCTTGATGTTCAGCCTCTTCACGAACTGCTCGCATAATTGCCCTTGATTTCCCTTTGTCTGCCATCTGTTAAATAAAACACTATTAACGTCAGTCTAAATAAAAATAATAAATAAAACAAATCTTAAAAAAAAAACTGAACCGTGCTATTTCACTGTCATTTAGTGGACAAACACACGAAATTAGTGCTTCCATTTCGTGTAAGAACACACGAAATACAAGCACTAATTTCGTGTGTTTGTCCACGAAATGACAGTAAAACTACCAAAACACATACGGTTCGTGCACAATTATACGAAACAAAAGCTTACATTTCGTGAGAAATCTCACGAAATATAAGCTTTTGTTTCGTATTATTGTGTACGAAACGTAAGAAAAACAAACAAATAAGCTAATTTCGTGTAAAAACTCACGAAATTAGCCCCTTAATTTCGTGAGTTTCTACACGAAACGTAACTTTAATTCCGAAAAGTTTCGAATGTTTTCAAAATACTGAAAACGTAACGATTTTCGACGAAATTTGTTAATATACTACTATAAAACATTGGGTTAACGATTTTGAGTTCGAATTTTACCTTAAATCGTTGTTGAATTGCTCGTTTAATCCGCAAGAACTCGAAGAACCTTGGATAGGGTTTGAGGGGATTTTGAATTTTCTAAAGAAAAGTTACAAATGAAATAAAGTCGCACTGCAAGCCGGTAAAAGTTGTTCTATGAATAGCATTTCAGATATTGAATACTTATCACACTGAATACCGAATTACTAATGAAATTGAATTTATACTGATGTTACAGTATTGAATACCGAAATATTTGATAAATATTTATTTATTTTATTTTAAATTCATTAAGGTTATAATAAATTATAAAATACTTTTACATTGATTTTTATTTTTCATTATTTACAAATTATCCTCTATTGATAATTAGTTTTTGTTTTTAGGGTTGATTATAGAAACTTTAATGAAAAATTCAAGAATTAATTAGTTTAAATATATTATTTTACATTTTTTTTTAAAATATTAAAACATATTGTTGTTCGTACTGTTATCGAACCTAAAAATCCGAATCAATTCCGTAAATATCCGTACTGAACAGAATATATCAATTTGGTAGCGATACACATTTTCATAGTACTGAAATTTAGATTTACATAATGATAAAAAAACGTTAAATTGGATTCGAATTGCAAAATAACTATTTAATTCGGAGAAGAGCTATTAATGGGCATCGGTGGAGATATCGAAAGAAATTATGGAAAAATAAGGGTTTTCAACGAACTCAAATTGTATTTGAATACGAAACGAACTTTATCTCAAGTGAAACGGCGCAAGGAACAAAACTCATGAGCTTTGCTCATGAATTACGCCAAATTTCAGCAATCCAGCGTTAGACTCCTAAAAGTTCGTTTTTGCTATTTTAGGCAATATTTAGAAAACTAATATCAAATCATAGAAAAATCGGATTAAGATTCCGTAAATTGGGTTATTCCCAAAATTACGAGATCTACTAGAATCAGACTCTAACTCGTTTTTGCCCTTTTTGGTAATTTTTATTATTTTCTTAGTTTAATTAAAGTTTTCAGTTTTTTTAGTATAAATAGCTGCCTTAGGACTTTATTTTGAGAAGAATTTCGAATTTTAATAAAATATTTAGAGTTTTCTCTATTTTTCTGGTGGATTCCAGAATTTTCGGAGGATTCCGAATGTTATCGTGTTCTATAGGATTAATAATTCGTAGAAATTAATTATTTACCGTGCTTCCGTTCTGCGTCACATAAATTATGATACGATTCTATATAGTGCTCTAAATTATGGTACGATTCTATTTTTCTGATGGATTCCAGAATTTTCGGTGGATTCCGAATGTTATCGTGTTCTATAGGATTAATTCGTAGAAATTAATTCTTTACCGTGCTTCCGTAGGGCGTCACATAAATTATGATACGATTCTATACAGTATTACCGAATGAACACCGGTACGGGGCTAAGAAAGTGCTGAGAACTTCATATCAAATTATTAAACAGTATTGTTTATCAAGTAGATTATTAATTTTCTTAATTTTAATCATTGTCGTAAGAGTTTCAACAAAGTAATAATTTTAAATGATTTCTTAGTGGGGCCCACTGTCTCTAACCACCGACCACTTGACCTTCTTTGCATGGGGTAAACTCATATGCATGTGCAACTATTTTTATATGGTGGGGTCACAAACAATTAAGTGGTTTTTAATGGGTGATAATTGTAATTTTAAAAAATATCTTTTTCGTTCCACATTTTTCTTCCATGAAATATGCTCGAATTTCAGGGACACACTTCTTATTTGCATTGAATTTGCTGGATACAACAATTTCCATAGGGTAATTTAGTCATTTCCTAGTAAAACTTTGTTTCAACAAAGAATGAAGGGCTAGTGGCACTTCACCCTCTAAACTATCGCGTGATTTGCACGTTGCCCCTTGAAAAAAAAAATACAAAAATTTACATGAACTTGTTAAATAGTTGTACGGTGCTTCAATTTTACCAATTCGGTTCATTTCTCGTCCGCATGTGGGTTTTTTAGGGTATAAACATTCATTCGCTGCAAATTTATTCGTACTTCTATTTCCCCTCGTTTTTTTGCTTCTTTTTGCCCTCAAAAAATTGAAGTGAATGGACATGTGACGCACATGTCGACGATTCCAGCAAGAAATGAACCGAATTGGTAAAACTGAGACACCCAGGGTGTAACGAGCAAAACGCACAATAGTTTGGGGAGCAAAGTGCCATTAACCCAAAATTTAAACAAAATTAGTAAATCACTCATTGTGTAGAGGGTACTTTAGTCATTTCACATTAAAAACTGTGTAACAAAGCATGCTTATCTCTGTTTCCCACAAAATTTTGATTTTCCCCAAAGCTTTTTCTCCATTATATTAATATATCTGCTCCCCAATAAATACAGCAGTACTCTCTCTCTCTCTCTCTCTTGTAAGACAAAATTAAATTTCAAAAAAATCACAACCACCGCCACCACCGCAACCGCCGCCGCCATGAGAACGGGCAACCACCTAATAGGCGCCCTGAACTTCCTCACCTTCGTCCTGTCGATCCCCATCCTCGGCGGCGGAATATGGCTGAGCAGCCGCGCGAACAACACCGACTGCCTGAAGTTCCTCCAGTGGCCGCTCATAATAATCGGCGTCTCCATCATGGTCGTCTCCCTCGCCGGAATCGCCGGCGCCTGCTACCGGAACAACTTCCTCATGTACCTCTACCTGTGGGCCATGTTCATCATCATCGCCACCCTCCTCGGCTTCGTCATCTTCGCCTACGCCGTCACCGGCAAGGGTTCCGGCCAGCCCGTCATGAACCGGGCCTACCTAGACTACTCGCTCCAGGACTACTCGGGTTGGCTCTCGGATCGGGTCGCCAGTGATAGTTACTGGAGCAAAATCGGGTCCTGCATTAGGGATTCACGCGCGTGTAGAAAGATGGGCAGAAATATTGGGGGCGTTCCTGAATCTGCCGAGATGTTTTACCTCAGAAAACTCAGCCCTATTCAGGTCAGAAAAACAATTTAATTATTATTTTTTTATTTTTTTAATTGTTGATTTTAATTTATTGAATCTCTGAAAATCTGATACCTATTAGAAATCATTAATTAATATATGTTTGAAGCTTTGAATTAATTAGTGTTCTTAATTTGGTGATTATGTAAACATGCCCATTTTTTAATTTATATTTAAAAAAAAAATAAAAAAAATCAGTCTTTATTATTATTAGGGGATAAGATATCTTAACCACAAATTTCTGTTGTCGTTTTGTAATAACACTTTGATTTGAACTAGAGAGAGATTACACTGTTCTACTTTATTACTACCAATAAAGCAGATATTTTCTCTAGTGATTTATTATTTGAAATATTTAATTAATTAATTATATGAGCTTTTTGGTTAAATTTAAAAATCCCTTTTGCCCTAAACTTTTTTGTTCAAAGTTCAAACATCCTTCTTGTTGTGCCTTTTTGTTGCTTCGCTTCTTGTGATGCAAAAAGATTCATAGGAACTCTTTGTACTAGCTTTATTATTTTATTGGGTAAATTATGGTCACCCCCTGAGGTAAGGTTAAATTACGAAAAAAAAAATTCTTCATTGGGTAATTACAACCACCGATCAACTATGAATCTCCTTACACGTCCACCCATGTTGTGTCAAATTTAGTAACATCTTCTGGAATCTCCAGTTTGTATATGTTTTACCCTAATCCAATTCTACATTTTGAAACAAGATTATCATAAGATGTGTCTCTTCGCTTGTAAATATCAGATTGTGGTGCATTTGAAACTGTCTTTTGCACAAAATGAGAAATTAGAGAAGATTTCACATAATCTTCTAGATTATGTTGAATTTGACGTCATAAGGTTGAATGTGTAATAAAAATCATAGTTGAGGAGGGGTTAAAATTACCCAAACATGAAGTTTTTTTTTCGTAATTTGACCTTACTTCAGGGGGCGGTGCCGTAATTTACCATATTTTATTTTATTTTTCATCAAACGTTCATTTAATCATAATGTAAAATGGCCTAGCTAGTCGAAGAAAAAACCATGCGAATTACAAGAAAAATAGAACGAAAACGACATCAATAATACGAAAGCTAGGCTATCATCAAATAAAATAAAATAATTATTTATCTATAGTTTCTGGTACGTATCACTTTCTTCTTGTGTCTTTTACCAAAAGCCAAAGGGTTATTGTCATTGTCTACACTTGAAGTTTTTTTTTCTTTTACCTAGTATTTTAATTTTCTCCTGAGATAATAATTGGCATTATTTTTTTTCCAAGCAGTGATTGAGTAATTGCTAGGAACGTGCTCCATAACTTGTTCACATGGCCTGACAACATATATGGGGGGTCCTTTCATTAGATATTTCCTTCTTAAATTAAATTTTAGGATTATATATATATATATATATATATATTATTGAATTTTAAACTAGTTGGTTGAGAGCTATTACTTCACTTGAAAGGATGATTTCAGAAGTAAAAAAACAATAAAAAATTATTAACTTTCTTAATACATATGCCAAACATTAAACAAACAACAAATATTTTGAGAGGGGGGCATGTGATAAAATTCGAGGTAATTGAATTGTTTTTAAATCATATGGGGTTAGTTCCGGGTTTTTATTTTTTTTATTTTTTAATAATGTTGGAGATAGGTTTTCTGTGGTAATGGTTACTGGTTTAGAGGCCAACCCTTTTCTGTACTTTACTCATGTGTGCATGGCTGTATAATCAATTCAAAATATGAAATTGTGAAAAAGACTCAACCTACTTATATAATTAACCGAGGTCGTATAAAATATTCGGTGTAGTTATATAAATATATTATCAGATCAACATAATTGCATCTGTGATGACTAAATAAAGACGAGTTCGATGATGAAAGTGATCGAACGGTAGTTATAGGAGATAGCTTATTAGATCATCGTCACACTTTCTTGATATTCAAAAGGGCAATAATTGATTTGGTGACTATATGGAATCAAACATAAAAAAGTATGCACACTTTTTGTTCTCTTTCTTGAATTTATTTATCTGGTTCTTGAAAGCATATAACATATAATATTGTTTGGCTTATCTCGTGCCTCTATGCACTCGGTATCTAGTTCTCGAAACTAGTCCCCGTTTGGTTGGTTGAGTAGATATGCCATGATTAATTAACGGGCTTTTATTTGGTTTCGTTCATGCTCTTTATCTGTTTATTTTGACTTACTGGGACCCGTTGGTCTAATTATACAATCCGGACTTCAATAAGATCGTGTATATATCTTGGCTACGAAACAAGGCCTTAATAGGATAACACGGGGGACTTTATTGCATTTAGCATCCCTATGTTCCGTGTTATGTATATATTAGCCAAAATCATTTGTGATGCAATTTTTGAACTAGTAGACTACCCCCTAAAACGCACCATTTAGGGGGGCCGTGTGCTAAAAAAAATGCACCATGGGGTTCTTTTGCTAATATTATAACATGAAGACTTTTTTAGCAAATCAAGATTTTTTGGCAAGTCAAATATAACTCTTAGCTTGCATGCTTAACATTGGTTTAACATGTGCTAGTCTGGATGTTGCAAACCGCCCACATCATGCGGATACGTGTACATAAACGAGACGGTGTGGACGCCAGGTGGCGGCCTCGTGGGGCCCGACATAGATTGCACAAAATGGAGCAACGACCAGGAGCAATTATGCTACGGGTGCGATTCTTGCAAAGCTGGAGTAGTGGCTAGCTTGAAGAAGAGCTGGAGAAAAGTGTCGGTTATTAACATAGTTGTTTTGATAATCCTCGTTATACTCTATGTGGTTGCTTGTGCTGCTTTTAGGCACAACAAAAGGATCGACAACGACGAGCCTTATGGAGAGACAAGAATGGAGAAGTCGCAGCCTAGTAGGATACATTTCTAGAGATGCGTTTGGATTTTAAAGATTTTTACGAGCAACGCGCGTGTGTGGAATTATTTTGCGGTTTATTTGGCGTTTTCGGGAAGAAAAAAAAAAAAAGAAAAAAAGAAAAAAATGCTGTCTGTATATTTGTATTGATGTGATGACGTGTCTTGTAATGGAAGTATTTAAGAACTATGCTGCACATGGAAACTACGTAAGGGTGTTGTTTATTCTGTTACATGTTTAAAATAGGTTTATAAGCAACTGCATGTGCACAATGCATGATTGAGTAGACATGGATCCATGAAAGGTGTTTAATTAAGAGTGTTAATTAATATTTTGTTGTTTAATCACTTCAAATTCAATTTATTTTTGAAGAGTATTAATCTTCTAGTTTTTACTTATATTATTTTGGGCAAATTACAGTTACCCCCAAGAGGTAAGATCAAATTATGAAAAAACCCTTCATGTTTGACACATTTAACTATTGAAGGAGGGTTTTTTCGTAAGACAATACATAGTTGAGGGGATGGTTGTAATTATTCAAACATCATGGAGGTACCCGTAATTTGCTCTATTATTTTCTCTGTAATATTTTCTCCTGATCACATGTGCACATGAAAAAATAAAAAAATTAGTACATGTTATGAAAGAAGTACTGGTAAATCTTTTACTTAGATACAGTGCATGCAGCACATGCAGCAGATTCCTGCCCAAAATCAGCAGCCCTATTTCTGCAGCAATATCTTATTTATATAAGATGGTGAAATCTTACAACAACATAGTAACTTGTACAATAAACAAGAGTTAAGTTAAGCTCATGACTTACACGGTTCCTTCTCTGCAACCGTACAATTCTCCCGGCTTTGCTCGGGATTCCACCTGGCAACGATTCTCTCCTCGACGCTGTAATAATTAATACTCCAAGGAGAAGAACTAGCACCGTCACAATCGTTACAGTTTCTGCTGATGTGGAGAACCAACAAAGTTTTTGCAACACTGCCACAGAGACGAAGAGTGCAATGAAAATCAGACCAAACCTTCAAACGCCGATTTCCATTCCCATCTTCATCGGACGTGGCAATAACCGCGTACTCAGAGTGCACTAAAGCTGGGTGGTGCCGGTAAGCAACAAAGTCAACACCGTACTGAGACCCCGCTCTAACCACCCAGTTCTTCGTACGAAGATGCGAATACGCTTTGTATAGAATCGGGAAATTCACTCTCTTGGACGACATGTAATCCCACAGCTCTTCCTCATTTTTTACGCAATTATTTTGACCTACAATCTTGATGCATTTCATTACGGTGCAGAGGTAAAAAGCTTCCTCGAGGCATAGTTGAAACCACTGCTTGTTCTTCTCTGTGGTGATAACGGGACGGCCGAAACATGCGTGGTTGAAAAGCTCCGTTTGTTCTTCGTGTGCTGCAAGAAGAACGCTGCTCCCTGAAAGGATTCCTTGAGAATTGGATTCGATCAAAGAGGATTGGAGCCGATAAACTATTGTGGACATGGGTTCCGCTAGGGCTTTTGCTTCGGCTGCTTTTCCTTTCCATCTTGCTGGCATTATCTGTTCCATAGAAAACGATACGCTGGCGAAACAGCTTATCTGACAAAGAACCCAGAAAAGATCACAGATGCTTACTACAGCTCGATTCCAGATAAAGTATACTGGCCTATGTTCTTTACTTCTACACTAGCTGCAGTCGTTTCGAGCCAATCTATGATCTCTGCTAGCTTTTCGATCGTAAAACAGTCTTTCTCTCTAGATTGCTTTCCAAGAGTTAACATAATTCATACATCTTCCAAGCATCAAGGCCAAGTCTACCCCCCGGAAATCAATTACATTCTTATGATTCTCACACTTGGCCTCGTGGTCGGATTCAAAGGTGGCGTTGAACTAGCAAACGCATACGGTACATAAGAGTTAGAAAACTGAATTTTATTCAAATAAGATAAATCACATATTACAAAGCTTGATTTTTATTTTCGGTAGGTGTTGTGGTCATATGGGTAATGGTTATAACGACGTTTTTGACAACCTGAGTGATGCTGGTCGTATGGAAGACGAATATCGTTCTAGTGATGTCGTTTTTCTTGCCGTACATGTTGGTAGAGTGCGTTTTCATGACGTCATTATTAAAGAAAATCCCACAAGGAGGATAGGATGGGTTCCGTTTGTAATATCGTGGAGGTATGGGAGGATTAAGAAGCTAGACGACATGCGAAGCAGAAAGAAAGATGAGCATTGAAGAACTCGATCAAATATTATCGTTAAACAGCAATATATACCGAACACAAGGGATCTGCGACCTTGTCTACGGCATTCCACCTATAGTTCGTCATTATATTCAACACACAAACTCCGTACGTGAAATCATGGACCGATCAAAACGGTTCAGACGGAAGATAGGTTTAATGTTGGAAAACTAGGGAATGAGGGTGTTTACAGGTGTTTAGTTCGGTTCGGTTATAAATATGAAAGAAGATGAATACGTTGCTTCGGTGAAAGCTGACAAAACTTCAAGAGCTAACTAATATTACAAGAAACGAAGAGCACAGAATTCAGACTCAGACAGCATACGTGAGAATTATTATAGGTCGTAAATGTGAGAAGAAATTCATTTACCTTCAAATCAAAAACTCAGCCGATGAATCCTGAAAGGCGTGATTTCAGTTAAATAGGGGATTTGCGGAGGACGTCAGACGGCCGGAAACGGCGGCGGTGTTGATGCGAGCCGGCGTAGTTGGTTTAAGAAGGCTGAGGCGGATTAGGGGTTTTAGGAAATAAATATGAAATTGGAATTCGTCAATTTTAATTTAATTATAATTGAATATATATTAAATATTAATAAAATATTATTTTAGGCTTCTTCCCCAACAGTAGTCTCCCCAATTTGCAGACTTCCCACAAAACCTCCAAACCAACAAATCGCTAAAAACGACGCCGTATCGGAATCTCGTCCATGGATTCCGATTGCAGCACCATTCCTTCTCTCCTCTCCTCCTTCGTCGACACCTTCGTCGATTTCTCCGTCAGCGGCGGTCTTTTCTTACCGCCCGAACCGGATTCAATTAAGAACCCGACCGGTTCATTGCAGACATTTTTCCCTCAGCCGAGCCGCCTAATCGCCATCGGTGACCTCCACGGCGACCTTCCCAAGGCCAAGCAGGCCTTGAGGCTCGCCGGTCTGGTCGGCCCCGACGACCGCTGGTCCGGCGGCTCCGCCACCGTCGTCCAGGTCGGCGATATATTCGACCGCGGCGGCGACGAGATAAAGCTGCTGTATTTCTTCGAGAAGCTGAAGCGGGAGGCTGCCGGAGCCGGCGGTCTCGTCATCACCATGAACGGCAACCACGAAATCATGAACGTGGAAGGGGATTTCAGATTCGCCGCTCGCGAGGGTTTCGAAGAATTCGAAAATTGGGCAAATTTTCAGCGCGTGGGAAACTCCATGAAGAAGCTGTGCGACGGCATTGATCAGAACTCCGTTAGCGATTTCCTCGAAGGAGTCCCCGATCAATTACCGAGAATCAAACCCGAGCTTCTCAACGGCGCTAGGGCACGCATCGCCGCCCTTCGCCCCAACGGATTGATATCGAGTCGATTCTTATCAAAGAATCAAACAGTTGTGGTAGTGGGCGACTCCGTTTTCGCACACGGCGGATTATTACAAAACCACGTGAATTACGGATTGGACCTTATCAACGAAGAAGTCCGCGATTGGATACTCGGATTGAAGAAGAACGTATCGAACAGTTTGGTTAGAGGGAGGGACTCCATTGTTTGGCTGAGGAGCTTCTCGAACGAACTCGCACAAGACTGCGATTGTTCGATGCTCGAGCATGTGCTAGAGACTATTCCCGGTGTGAAAAGAATGATCATGGGGCACACGATTCAGAGGAATGGTATCAATACTGTTTGTGGGAATCGAGCTGTGAGGATCGATGTGGGAATGTCGAGATTGTGCGGGGGTCGATTTCCGGAGGTTTTGGAGATTGGTGAAAATTCGGAGCTCAAAGTTTTGACTTCGAATCCTTTGTATTATAAAGGTTATGAAGACTCCGTGGAAGCTGATAAGAAAGAAGGCCTTGGTTTGTTGATCCCCGAACAAAGGGCAAGGCAAATTGAGGTGAATGCTTGAGTATTTATTCGTGTAGTTTGGAGAAATACGAAAGGTTTGTTTTTCGTAATTGAAATGAATATTCGAAGTGTATAAGAATTCTTGGTCTCGTGCTTGCGAAAATTGTTATGAGGGATATATTTATGTCACTCGGTAATATGAACTTGAGGCATTATTCTCAATTGTTGAACTGATCTGCCATTTCTTATTATTGTTTTGTGCTCTCAAATACTTCAATCTTTTGATCGTCATTTTGATTTTGATCGTATGTGTGTGTGTATATATATATGTGTATGTATATATACTTCATTCATCATTAAATTTGTCATTCTTTGGCCGTAACAGAAATGCTTCTTGTCTAATATATGTTTAGGTAGTTGTTTTGAGTGAATTTGTTTCACTCTATGTAACACTGACACGGAAACGGCGATACGGAGAAGCAGGAAAACGACGTGTCCCAAAAATGAGGATTCATGAACTTGGGGGGAAACATGTAGATATTAAAAGTATAGGGGTATATTTATAAATATGCTATAAACACATGTATTTAGTTTTTATTTATATATAAATTCTTTTTATATATTTCAATACAAATATATTCAAAATAAAATTATTATCAACTATCAATTTGTAATTGGTTATTAAGTCATGTACAGTTAAACCTCTATAAATTAATACTGTTGGGACCATCAAAATTTCATTAATTTAGCGAAATATTAACTTATCGATAAATTAATAATTATTAATTTATACATTAATTAATAAATTATTAATTTATGAAATTACTTTTATTATTATTTTCAATAAATACATTTTTTTAATTTTTTTTCCGTGTATATTATTCATTGTACCATTAGTTCAATGCATTATAGAGCCCGTTTCACGAACGGAAGCTCTGAAAGCAGCAATGGTATAGAACGATTTTATGTTGAGTTAGAGCATCTTCCACCCTAATCACCATTTTTTCACCAAATCCTATTTTTGATGGTGAAAAAATGGGTTTATCTCCCACCCTTAGCACACCATTCTATAATTTCACTACTTTTGGTGAAAAAATAGTGCATTTGGTCTCCCACAAATTTCAACAAATTTTACACTAAACAATAAAATAATAATATTTCACCATTTTCCTATTTATAGAGAATAGCATTTGGTTTGGTCTCCCATAGTATTTCATAAAATATATCACAAAATTATAATTTAATGTTAATCATAATTTTAATCTATTTTAATTTTAAAAATATTGATTATAGATCCGATTATAAGTAATAATTTTATTGATTATATAATCTTAGAATTATATTAAATTTTAAAAAACTATTGAAACATGAATGAAAATCGACGTAAATTATTTATCTTTTGAACATTAATTCATTAATTAACACTAATATATTTTCTATAAATATACTTATAAATTGGTAATCACATGAAATTAGTTAATATAATAATTTTATATACTAATTATAAAATGGTGTTAATTACACCAAATCCTATTTTAATTTCTATATTTGATATAAAAAATAGGATTTGGTGAAAAAATTGGTAAAGTAGTAATAGGGTGGGAGTTGCAAATTTCTTCACCAAAAAATTTGGTGAAAATATAGGATTTAGTAATATGGTGATATGTGGTTTGACCACAATGGGAGACTAAAACCAAATCATCATAATTTTAGGTGTAATGCCGATTTAGTGATTTAAGTTGGGAGGTTAAAAACACCTAAATTAGGTGAAAAAAATAGGATATGGAGATGGGTGGAAGATGCCCTTATGACAAAACTATACCGAAAGTTCTAACCATGTTAAGTGAGGGACAAGATTGATGGTAATTTGAACTTCAACACGAAACAAGCAACAATTAAATTATATTGTATTATTAAGCTTTCATAGATCTATAAAATATGTAATATACCATGTAATTTAAGAATTATTTTTATGCATTATTAATTTATATATTATATGGGGCTTCTTAAATTTTTCGAATGTGTATTATCTTATAAATTTAGCGAATTATTAATTTAGCACGTTGTCCCCGAGTCGGGACCGGGAAAATTTATTATTTAAGCGAGGTTATTAATTTATCGGGTATTAATTTATCGAGGTTCTACTGTACATAATTATGGAAACAATAATAATATTTGAAAATTTGTTATTCAAATATGTTTCTAATTTTCAAAAATTATAAAATGAACCATAAGGTGTATGACAGGTGTACAAGGGTGTCGGACACAAAAAAGTGTTTGAAACGCGAAAACTTAAATTTCAACATAAATAGGTAGCCTTACGAAAAAAAATAACCCTCAAAAGGTTAAACAAAATTAGATTATGTAACTGAGTTAATAAGAAAAACTCTATAGTATATAAATTGAATAATTCATCAACGTCTTAAAAATAATTTGATGATAATGAACACTAATAAAAATCTTAAAAACATTTTAATTCTTTTAACTGGACCACTCTGCACATATCTACAAAAGGAAAAGGCTCAAAATATAAATAAGCAAGAGTACAGTACCAAAATGAAAACAGGAAAATACACTATACATACAAAACAGAATCAGTACATTCTGCTCATTCACAAATTCACAAACTGCCGTTCAATCTGTTCGTCGATCGATCGATCAATCAGCCAATCAAATCGCAGCGGGGGAAAAAATGAGCGGAGCGGCGAAGAAAGTAACCGACGTTGCATTCAAAAGCGGGAGGAATATCGATTGGGAAGGAATGGCGAAGCTGCTTGTCACCGACGACGCTCGTCGGGAGTTCGCCACCCTCCGCCGCGCCTTCGACGACGTCAACACCCAGCTCCAAACCAAGTTCAGCCAGGTTAATTTTTTTCTCCTTTTCTTCCCCCAGTTTTTAATTGTGTGCTACAATTCGTATATTATTCCTGTGTGTATCTGTGTGTCATGAGCTATCATTTTTTTTATTTCATTATGTGGCGTGGATTAGATTTTTTGAATAAATGTGGAATTTGTTTCTGGCTATTGTGTGATGGTTATGGGTGTTTTCTGATGCTAATTGTTTACTTTATCCTTGTTCCCCCTTTTTTGGTAATTATGTTTGAAGAAGTCAACAATGAAGACAATGTGTATTGGTAGAGTGGTTGATTGTGGTTCTTATTAATATTGGTTAGCTTATTTTGATCAATTTCTACAATTCCTTTTGTTTTCTTAATCTAAGTATTTCCCGGCATCGAATGTTAAGGATGAATGGGCTGGGTTTCGTAGCTTGGAGTAGGATGAATGTTTGGATTGCAAGTCACAGTTTCCTTGTACCGTGCATCTTTACATCAAATTGGAAATAATTTTCTGATTCCGAGATGAGTCATTTCAATCATATCAAATGCAACTTTGCTTCATACAGGTCAAGACTTTTGAACTGTTGCTCTTTGTTCGCCTTTTAGATCGTTATGTGTTTATCTCACAATACCATAACTCGTAAATATTTTGATACTTTGAAATACAGGACAAGAACTTCATGTAAACGGTGGTTTATAATTATATCTATGCCTTAATAAATAAATAAATGAAAATAAATTGTTTTTATTGGTGGGAAAAATTAAGCTGTAATGTTCTTCTCCTTATGGCGTACGTGGTGTTTGTATGATATAGCTATGCTATTTTGTAGGCTTTGCAATTTTTTTGCAACTATTTATGTTATAGAAATAGCATGCTTTTGCGGCTCTGATTTATAACTTTTTTTTTATTGCGAGTCAGGCTCCAATTACGCGTGGCGTTGCTGAGTGTCTGCTTATCTATGTGTTAATTCAGTTTAGTGTTTTTAATTTAGGAAAAAAATTGAGTGACATTGCTGAATGTTAGTGGTCACACATGTTATTTTAATCATTTCATTGACTTAGAAAATTTGTGTGTGGCACGGCTGAGTATCAGTGGTCATCCACTTGGCTTTAACCATTTGATCGTGTTCTTCAATTTTGCAAATTTTCGTCTGTTATTCCTATAACTTTTAGATGTTATTTTTTTAGATGAAACCCTTTTTTTTTTTTTTTTTTCCGTTTCTGTAAACATGCAGGAACCAGAACCCATAGACTGGGAGTATTACAAGAAAGGAATTGGGTCTCGTTTGGTTGATATGTACAAGCAAGCTTACGATGGTATGCATTGTTTGTTCAATTAACTGATTTTCATCCCTTGTTTTGAAATTCGATTAACTGATTTTTTAAATTTTTTTCCTACGCAGAGGTTAAAATTCCGAAATATGTTGACAATGTCACTCCTCAGTACAAACCTAAGTTTGATTCTCTGGTGAGAAAATATTGAAATTTACTTATATTTTACTGCTACTTTTCTTGAAAAGAACATGGATAATTTAATACCGACGTTCTCGATGTACAGCTGGTAGAGCTGAAAGAAGCTGAGCAGCAGTCTCTGAAGGAGTCCGAAAGATTAGAAAAAGAAATTGTGGATGTCCAAGAGTTGAAGGTGAGTTGAATATCTCTCTCTCTCTCACACACACGAACATGCTCGTGTGTGGATTTCTCATACTTGTTTCGTTTTTGGTGAAACAGAAGAAGCTAAGTACAATGACAGCTGATGAATACTTTGCAAAGCATCCCGAACTCAAGAAGAAGTTTGATGACGAGATTCGAAATGATTACTGGGGATATTAACTGGTTTTGATCTAATGTAACACTTTTTCGGAACCATTTTGAGGTGAACATTTTTAGTTCAACTGCAATTTGGAAATAAAGAGACGAACGGACTTCTTGTCGTTTAGCTTTCCGGGTATTTTAAAGACTGAAAATTAATAATTGTATTTTTGATACTTATAACAATTTTGCTAAGATACGAGTTAACTGCAACTAGGGATGAAAATTGGAATGGAGTTTCCGACTTCCGCTGACTCCAATTGTTTCCGATTTTGCAAGATAAATGTTTCCAAATGTAGTTTTTGGAACAAATTATAATATGGAGGTCTTATATTGAAATGCAATATATTTAGGCCTTGTTTGGTTAGAGAGATTTGCTACTATTAATTAAATAATTGGATTTTGTTTGATGTTTGATATTTCCAATAACTTAGCCGGATTGACCATTAAATGTTATGTTATCATGGCTTATCTTATACAAGCTAAAATATATTGTGAAATAATTAGAAAGATGAAAAAGAAAGTTAATATATTTTATTTTATAAAAAAAATCACATTCTATAAAATATTATTTTAATATAAGTTTGAAAAAGAACTACAATTCAATAATTACGGAATAGAAATTATTATTATTAATTTTTATTTTCTTTTTAAAAAAATATTTCTTGTATGGATAATAGCCTAATAGGGTCTCACGAATTTGATGAAGTGCCCCGTCAAACTCGGATCTAAACTGGAGCGGTTCTGGATTTGGACCGAGTTATAATTCTGACCCATTTGCATCCCGGGTTAAAATCTGCCAACCAAGAAGTAAATCTTATTCGAATCGGGTTAATAAATCTAACCCGTTTACATCCCTCGTAGTTCGCACAGCCAAAGGGCTGAATACCCGACCCAAACAAGGCGGCGCGTGTAATTTTACATTTTCTCCGGAATTTTCTGTTTTCTTTTGACGCTATATATAGAACCTGCTTCTCCGTTGCAATCCCGTTGAATGTCGGTTTGCCGGCGAATAGTTTCCGGTGCTGCTCGTACTTCGTATTCTCGTTCTCCCTTTCCTTCTGGAAGCTTCGCTTTCGTTCGCCGATTCTCCTTCACTCTCACTCACTACTCAGTGTTCCCTTTGACCATGCCTCGGAACCAGGTATTCCATTAATTGTAACGTGTTTTTTTGCAGTGTCGGATATGCGTGTTTATGTTGAGTTGATGGATGATCGGAAATACAGGTTTCGTAATTCGTAGTGTTTTTTACGTCTGGATGTTTACTTCGATGATTGTATTGGATATTTGGATTAACGGAGCTGATGAATATATGGCGCTTCTGTATTGTAAATTGTATGTGATGTGTCTTATTTCAGATTTTCTCATTTTTTATTTTCGGTTTGTTGAGGTTTTTGAGTTTTGATCAGTGATCAAGCTGTTGATTTGGTCTGAAATTGGTACTCATGAATGCATTGAGTTGGTATTTTTGTAAGATATTGTTAATTTGGTAATTGGCATGTTGTGTTTTCTGATTTATGGGGACCGAATGTGTACAATGTGAATTTATTCCATGCCTATGTACTATTGCAAGCCATCTTGTTTCGAATATGGTATTCCTCGAGGTTGTTTTCAAGTCAATGCTGGTTGCATATTGCCTCTAAATCTACGTTGGTATACAATTGACTTTTTTATGGTGAAATTCAGAAAAGGGGAAGTTTTAAAGAAAATAGATGGGTAGAGAAGAAGAAACCCGATGGACCATCTACCTCATCATCTGGATCGCAGAGTTTCACTAATGCAACCGCTGAAGCTGTTTCTGAAAGATTTGACACATTGAGTATTGCAGAAAGCAAAGAGCATTCTGTTGCTTCAGTGCCATCAGTACAATTTGGGAGCATCGGGCAAAAACATCATGCACCTGTTCGTGAACAGAGAGCTGTGTGGAAGCCCAAATCATATGGAACAGTAAGTGGAGCTACAACAGTAGAAGTTGATAAAGCTCCACTTGATCATAAAACGGTACTGGGCAATGGAACTCAAACAGAATCTACTGGGAAATCTAATGCTGTTTTGAGTAATTTGTTCAGTGGTAGATTATTGGAGAACTTCATCGTGGACAACTCGACATGCTCAGTTGCACAAGTTAGAGCAACATTTTATCCAAAATTTGAGAATGAGAAGTCGGATCAAGAGGTAAGTTATCCCCATCCATGGTTTTTTTGTTGGACAAAGCAATTCAGAATTAACATTAGATTACTTTTATCTCATTAAACACACTTAAATATTCAGAATTTTATGATTTTAGTGCTTATGTTGGCATAATTATGTAGGCCTGTTAACAGTTACCTTGAGCCAACTGTAATTGTTCAGCAGTGGCAGTCAATGTTATGTCTGGTACAAAAAAAAAAATGATTTCTAAGATGTACTTGGTCAACCTTTTGATATGCCATTCAATCAGGTTAGAACAAGGATGGCAGAGATGGTTTCGAAAGGCTTAGCTACATTGGAGGTAGGCCATTGACCTTTTTATGCAATCTTTTTGTTGCCCTTCTCTGTAAAAGAGTTTTTGGTTGATCTAATGTTGACTCCTGTCTTCTCATTCCATCTATTTGCTCTCACTCATATTGTTGTTTATTTCCTCTATCCTACTCAAGTTCGTAGCCGTGCCCTTTTCATATAATGTTTTTGTGTAACATCAATAAACCAATAGGTTTCCTTGAAGCATTCGGGATCACTTTTCATGTATGCTGGACACGAGGGAGGAGCATATGCCAAGAATAGCTATGGGAATATGTAAGTCAATTACACACCAGAAATAAGAAATACTAGGTGTTTTGAGCTCCAATGGATCTTTATCTTCTAAATTGCAATTACCTCATTATGTTTTCTGTTTTAGTAAAGCTTTCTGAATTCCATGAATATACCACAGTTATACTGCTGTTGGCGTCTTTGTACTTGGGCGCATGTTTCGTGAAGCATGGGGTTCACAGTCCAGCAAGAAGCAAGCCGAGTTCAATAAGTTCCTTGAGGTAAATCTAGATTGGGTAGTTATGGTTAAATCAAGTTAAGTTGATGAAGGTTTGCATTTCTTCTGTTTGATTAATAGTGGTGATATTGAGATATTTTACTTGGTTGGAGGTTAGGAAGTGAAAGAGAATATGACTTGTTATCAATTGCATTTTAGCAATAGTATAGTTGTATAGATCTTTTTATCTTTCCCATCCTGAAATCATATGAAGATACCTCTTATGCATTCTTATCATACTTGCGTCGCTATTTGAATTGCAAAATTCTTAATTAGCTTTATATTACATGAGTATGAACAAAGATTTCTATGCACATGTGGATGCCTACATATCCTTATTCTATCTTCAGGGGGTTTTCATTGTGATTTAACGTTACTCTTTCGTTCTCTTCAGAGCAACCGTATGTGCATATCAATGGAACTGGTTACTGCTGTATTAGGAGACCATGGGCAACGTCCTCGCGAGGATTATGGTGAGTGGATAAGAAAATATCCTTCCCGAGTCCTTGATATTGACTATATGTGATCCATGATATAAGCTTTTGAAACCGATTTCCTAATACTGATTAAGCATTAGGGCTAAAACATGTGTGTATATTCTTTGGCATGCTTAATCAAACAGTGATCCAATTTCCTTGTGGCTGAATAACAGTCTTTTATTCCGTTTTGTGCTCTTTTGCTCAACATTTCTTCTACATATCTTCACTTTTCTGAAACTAGTCATAATAGCTTTTCATCTCAAATATTTTGTTTTTAATTTATTCGCACCCATTAGTTTGTGCCGCAAGATTGCTGATACTTCTTGTTTTCCATGTTTGGCAGTGGTCGTGACTGCAGTCACCGAGTTGGGTTGTGGAAAACCAAAATTCTATTCAACTCCTGATATAATTGCTTTCTGTAGGAAATGGCGGCTACCAACAAATCATGTCTGGTTATTCTCAACAAGGTGACTTTTCGTTTATTATTATTTTAGAAGAGAATCTTGTTGCTTGATGTGCAGAAAGGTTATCCTCTGTTTTTCACAAATTGACCACCATGACTAGAGTAGACATAGAATGATTTGATAATCGCCCTTATTAACCTGTTATTTTCATAAAGTATTTGGTCCCATGCTCGGTAGTTTTTTGGGTTCTGATTAAACGTCCAATCGGGAAGCACGTTATGCATTTCGATCTTGATAGTTGAGGCTTTTCCTACCCAAGTTTGTGAAGAAGAGTGATACTCTAGACATATCCTGAAAAATTCTGCAGTGCTAACGAATAAAAAAACTAAACTATTTTCTTATTTAACAGAAAAATATTTTCCTTTTAGATGGTAACATATCATTCCATATGCTTGGAGGTCCTACCATCCAGTCTTTTTCTTGGATCCATAGATATAAAATGCAGTGAATTATTTTGCCCAATTAGTTAGGCGCTATTCGAAGTGTTCTCTTCGTTCTTGTTCTACTTGTGCGCTTGTAAGTTCTTTGAATACTTGTATGCATGTAAAACCTCAGGTTCAGCAGGGTTAATGCATTAAAAAGGGTCTCCATTTCAGGAAGTCTGTGATATCATTTTTTGCTGCTTACGATGCACTCTGTGAGGAAGGAACAGCCACAACTGTATGTAAGGCACTCGATGAAGTTGCAGACGTATCTATTCCTGGTAAGATTTATATGTGGTTAAAAATGGAACCTTTCCCAAATTATATGTGGACAGTTTGTTGCATCTGTGAAAGATCATATGGAGACATACGTTTTGGCAGATGAACTATAAATACTTTATTGCTTCAAGTGAATTTCATGGGGTTTGATATGCTTAAGTATTCACTTGCTGTTTGATGTACCCTGTTGACTGCACCCACTGCTAAACTAGGTCACTGTTGATTAGCTTATGAATTCCAGTAGGGCATCTTTTATTCATCAATAATCATCTTTCTTTTTTTGTTGTTACTGCTCAACTTCTTTTGCCCTTCTTTCATTAAGTGTGGCCCTGACGTTTAGTTGTTCTATGGGTTCTTCCGTTTCATAACTTTCTTTTATACCATTCAATTGAAGGCCCCCATCCTGCCTGCATTCCATTGTGATTCCCTTGACCCTCTAACCCCGTCATTTATCATGTAGTTTGAATTCTCACTTTGTATCTCCTCGTTTGCCTGCACCATTTTTTTTGCTTTCTAAACTGCTTTATGTTTCATATGTACACTTATTGAAAGTAGTTTCATGCAAAGGCTGACTATTATTTTTTTCCCCTTACCTGTAGGATCAAAAGATCACATAAAGGTGCAGGGTGAAATCTTGGAAGGTCTAGTTGCTCGTATAGTAACCCGTGAGAGCTCAGAACATATGGAGCACGTCTTGAGAGAATATTCCCTACCACCGTCGGAGGGAGGTAACAATGATTTGGTTAATTTAGTTTATTTTCTACTGCTAGTTTTTGCTGTACCTCTTGATGTCGTAAAAGTGGCTTCACTGTTGAAGCATATCCAAAGAGTCGAATTAGCAAAAATTAATGCAGATTTTTCAGTTATTGTCCTAGTGACTTCTTTGTTTATTGTTGCCTTTGGTGCGAGTCAACTTTGTTATTCCAGGTACCAAGTCATATGAAAGATAATGCAAGTCAAAGTAAAGAGATTTACTTTTTGACCGAAGATTTACATTCACCCCCCTTAAGGCTTAAACCATCAACTCTAAACCCTATATCTTTTTATACTACATATTTGAGTGTTAAAGTATAATTTTTTTTGAACATTTTAGCGGTTTTGAGCAAAAAGCGTGTGCTATATAAGTATACGATTTTTCTTGATTTTGGTTGACTATTAAAAAAATATTTAAATAATTTTCGATGAACAATTCTTGACTACATATGAATAAACATCTTTTATACTATATACTTGAGTGTTAAAAGCTATAAAAAAAATATTTGACTATTTCAGCGATTTTTAGCAAAAGGAGTGTGCTATATAGTATATGATTTTTTGTGATTTTGCTTGACTATTAAAAATTTAGTGAAACAATTTTCAGATGAATTATTTCTTGACTACCTGTAAATAAACATCTTCTACATTATATTTTAGTGTTAATTTAAAAAAAGAATCGAACACTTCAATGATTTTTAGCAAAAAGTGTGTCGATATTTTGTGATTTTGATTATCTATTAACAAAATAGTGAAACAATATTTAGATGAACAATTTCTTGACTACTTGCGGATAAACATCTATATATTTGTGTGTTAAAAAATATTTGAATATTTCAACGATTTCTAGCAAAAAGTGTGCGTGTGTTTTTTGGGTGAATTTTGCTTCACTGTTCAAAAAATAGTGTTTTTTTTTTAAGTAAAGTATTTTTTGACTACTTATAAGTAAATATCTTCTATATTATATCCATATTAGTGTGTTCAGAAATATTAACAAAATATTTGAACATTTCAATTATTTTTTTGCAAAAAGCGCTTGCCACATATATATAGTATACGTTTTATTTCTGATTTTGATGACGATGGGTCTGGTTATGATGCAACTGTTTTAGGATTTCTTAGTTCAATGGGATATAATGGTCTTTTACATAAGTCTCTGACAGATAGCCATTTCCTTTTACGTAAGACTCACCATGGATTATGTTTTGATCTGTGTACTTGTTGTATTCACAAATTTTATATCAGCTGACCTGGGATCCAGTCTGCGGGAAATCTGCGCTGAAAATAGAAGTGATGAGAAGCAGGTGGCTCCGATATTTCTTCTGTTAAGATACTATAACTTGAATTGTTCATATTATTTATTTTGTTTGGTTGTGAGTTACAGCAAATTAAGGCACTTCTTGAGAGTGTCGGTACCTCTTTCTGCCCAAATTCTTTGGATTGGTTTGGAAATGATGTAGCTGATGGCCATTCAAGAAATGCAGATAGATCTGTTGTTTCCAAATTTCTGCAAGCGCGCCCTGCAGATTATTCCACTATCAAATTACAGGTAGGCTGTTCTCTTGTTTACTATATTGTCGACTATGAGAGATGGGGAAGTTGAAAAATTGAAAAGGTGCATGGTATTTGCTTGGGCAAAGCTTTGTATTCTGTATTTTATTCTGAATGATCCGGGTAATAGGAAAATGCAGCAATGTTTTATCAGGTAGCTGATGCTTTTCCTTGAAAGCTATTCCTTGATGGCTTTCCAACAATACTATTGTATTCTCCTTGGTAGACGAGAGGATTAATATTCTTTCTCTTCTCTCTCGTGTGTTGGTGTGCTCTAATATCTTGATATGTATTTCTCCTCTAATTGAATGATATTATCGAACCTTTTGCTTCAGGAAATGGTTCGTTTAATGACGGAAAAGCGCTTCCCCGCTGCTTTTAAGTGTTATCATAATTTTCATAAAATCAGCTCCGTGGCAAGTGACGATCTTCATTTTAAGATGGTCATTCATGTCCACAGTGATTCAGCTTTTAGACGGTACCAGAAAGAGATGAGGTCTGCTTCTCATTATTATATGCCTCGATCCATTCATATAAAACAAATTTTGGCATTATGCATAAGATTTACCGATCCTTTGGATTTTCATTTGGAAATATGGTATATTGCAGGCACAATCCAGGACTATGGCCACTTTATCGAGGTATACGATTTATTTTGTATTGCAATCAGTGTATCTCTGCATTGATGTGCTTATTGTACTTGATAGTATGTATATGGTGCAACTTATGAACGACATATGGGGCTTCTGTGAGTTTCCTATATAACTTTTGTCTAACAAAACTGCCAAGTCAGGGCCTTGGCTTGATGCAGTGGTTTATAAGGTATGGGATATTTCTGAAGAACCAGGTGGGGTGGGGGGGTTGGTTGTTGTTATAGTGGAACAGTAATTATATCGTTTAAAAACTGCGTCATTTTTTGTTGACTGCTAATGTGAATAATGTCAAATTCTGTCTATATCCGCGTGTATAACCATTTCCACAACTACTTGGGACTCAAATGTTTTTTCTTTTTGTTTCTTATAGGACTCAAATGCTTTTTATGTCGTTTGATTGAAAAAAAAAGAGAAAGAAAAATTCAATCTTGTTATAAATGGGAAAGTCGGGAAGGGGCAGGATTCGAACCCTAGATCTTGACCGTAGTAATCAAGGCTAGGTACCAACGCCTGTAATGAGGGTTGGTTTTATACTGTTAGATAGTTATTTAAGAATGCTCCAAATGCTTTGCTTTACAGCATTTTACTTGGTGGTTGATGATATTATTTCTAGATAGTCTGCTTGTTTTTAGTTGACATATGAGGACGATATGTCAATAGTGTAAAATTTCGGGTATATCTGCTTGGAGTGACCCTTTGCACAATTGTTTAGGACTTCTTTTGACGATGTCAGGAAGTTAGTTATTTATGCTCCAATTCCTGTGGATATAATTTTTCTTGCTTTCTCAGGGTTCTTTGTGGACCTAAACTTATTCAAGGATAAGAAGGGGATAGCAGTGAAATCCTCCCAGGAAATTAATTCTGGGAGTGGCACAAATGGTGCATCTGCAAAAGATGGTTTAGCTGATGAAGATGCAAACCTGATGATCAAGTTGAAATTCCTCACATATAAGGTGCGAGATACAGTCTTGTAAAATCTGTTGTTGAATCTTATAACCACTGGAAATTGTGGTTAATGCTGCAGGCATATGAATATTGAATAGAAACATGATTGCTTTTCTTCATTTAGAAAGTGATGGATGTTTTTTTTTTCTAAATTTTTTGAATATTCAGATAAGGACCTTTTTGATCCGGAATGGCTTGTCGGTTCTTTTTAAACAAGGTGAAGCTGCATACAAGGCCTACTACCTGAGGTTGGTTTTCTTAAAATCCTATACATGAATAGTTGTGTGTTTTAAAATGATATTTTCCCTTCTTAAAGTATGTTATATGCTTTTGCAATTTGACAATAATCCTATTAAAGAATATAATTGTGTATTTTAAAATGATATTTAAGTTGAAAGACCTGAAAGATTTTGTCATTCCACATTGGACTAGCTTTCTTGTACATTGTTTTGAAGAATAATTCTGGTTCTCGTTCTTGGAGCAGTTTTGCAAGACTTCACCTGATCTATTAGAGAAATAAATTGTTTTGTTACTTCAATTTGTTAACTGAATATTTATTCCCATAGCTAAACTCAAGTTGAAAACCTAGTTAATTGATATCTAGAAACTTCAGCATCTATTTTATGCTATGGAAGTTTCTTTCGGGATTTGAATTAGGTTTAATATCTAGAAACTTCAGCATCTATTTTATGCTATGGAAGTTTCTTTCGGGATTTGAATTAGGTTTAATGCATGAAGTAAACTTTATGATTTGTTCTTCTCTTGACTTTTATCTTATAAAGCATAAGTTGTTGAAAATGATTAGATTATCAAGGAACAAGGACTATTATGGTCTTCTAAACAAAATAGTGGAATGGTCGAGTCCTGGTACTTAAAATAGGTTTTTGTGTGTGCGCTCTTCTCTGTCTTATCGAATGACTAATTTGTGGTCGTTCTAGGCAAATGCAGAAATGGAATACTTCAGCTGCAAAGCAAAGAGAACTGAGCAGGATGCTGGATGAATGGTATTTCTGGAATTCTCTTTGCATTACTTTGAATTTGTAATCCAGTAATTGATTATCTTTTTTGCCTCTGTTAAGGGCTGTACATATTCGTAGAAAATATGGACACAAACAACTGTCTTCATCCACGTACCTAAGCGAAGCTGAACCATTCCTGGAGCAGTACGCGAAGCGCAGTCCGAAAAATCAGGCTTTGATAGGATCTGCTGGAAGTTTCGTGAGAGCTGAAGATTTTATGGCCATCATCGAGGGCCGCAGAGACGAAGAGGGTGACCTTGAGCCAGAGAGAGATATAATACCTTCTAGTCCGACTCCGATGGTGAAGGAAGTCATTAGGAAGGACGAGGGACTCATCGTCTTCTTTCCAGGTAAGAGTTATGTTGGTTTGCTGCGCTCTTCTTGTATATTGCTGTAGTTTCAGTTTTATTTGATCTGCTGAGTGTTTTGATAATCAGCATGATATTCATTAAATGCTTTGAGAAAATTAGCTAGCTCTATTAGAGTGGCTGTTAATGAGAAATTCCATTTGGAATAGTTAACTGACCTGTATCTTTTGCCATATTTGCTATATTTGCCATATTTTGTTTTCCAACTGCTGTATTAACTGACCTGCTTCACTAATCGCCGCTTTAGGAATACCTGGTTGTGCTAAGTCAGCTCTTTGTAAAGAGATATTGAGTGCCCCTGGAGGACTTGGTGATGATCGTCCAGTCCATAGTCTGATGGGTGATCTTGTCAAAGGTAGTGAGCTGAATTTTCCTTCTTTCTTTCCTGTAATTGTCTGATTTGGTGTTAATGATGATCTGTTTTTGTGCGTCTTTTGTGCACAAATTTTAATCAGCAGCAACACCACTACACTATATCAACAAGGAAGTTTCGATATGAGCATTCTAAGAATGATATTTTCACTTTTTTATGCTGTTTTCTTGTTGTGGTGGTGGTTGAGTCATACTTCTTATCTGATACATGTATATACACATCTCCTGTATCTGTCAGTTAAGTTTTCAAGATGGTGAACTTTCTTCCAAATTGTTGAACTGTAATATTCAGTTATCTTACGTTGAAGCATTTGAAAACAAGTAACCGTTTGAAATCAGGCAGAGTCTATGTTTTCCTACGTTGAAACATTTTTAGTGCTTGCTAGCATACTGTATCCTGCAAATTATTTGGCCTTAGATGTTCTTTTCGCTCAAGTCATTCTCCTGAGGACCCTACTATATATTTTTTCACCTTAGCATTGATTTCTTTTACTGTGAGTCCAGATGATTCTTTGAGGTTGCTTTTCCACTATAAAGTCTTAACAACTGTACCATTGCTGCTTCATTACCTCATTTTTCTCAAGCACTTGTCTTTTTTTTTTTTTTTTTTTTATTCAATTTACTTGTAAATGACAGGAAAATATTGGGGTAAAGATTGCTGAAGAGCGGCGCAAGAAACCTTATTCTGTTCTCCTTGCAGACAAAATGCCCCCATTGAGAATGTTTGGAGGCAGG